CCCCCCCCCTCACCGCCCCCTGCGCCCACGACACCAGTCTCTACAGCACTTTCACCGCTGCCGCGGCGCGGCCCGGAGGTCTGACCCTTCGCCGACTGGCCGTGTGGGTGGAGGAACCCCTGCAGCGCCTCCGCCTCTTGGGCACCATGTGCGACAGCATGCACCACGTCCGTGGGGGCGCCTTGATCTCGGTGCTGCATCTGCACAGTCAGCAGGGCGATTCTGTCGCCCGGTCGCTCATCCACCGCATGCTTTCTCGGGTCTCGCTGCCCCTGTTTGAGATGCTCCGGCGTTGGATTCTGGAAGGGGAGCTCTCCGATGCTCATGGGGAATTTTTTGTGGTAGTGGTCGCCGATCCCCAAGGGAGGGAAAGTCGGAGGGAAAGAGCCCCCGGGCTCGGAGCCCCACATACTCAGGACAGCGACGAGTCGCTCTGGCACCATCGGTATGCCTTGCGTCCGGGTATGATTCCGCGCTTTCTCCCCGAGGCCTTGGCCCACAAGATTCTTGTGTTGGGGAAATCCATCAATTTTATGCGCCGGTGCTGCTGTGATCAGGGATGGTCTGACTCGGAACCCCGTGGGAATCCTTCTTCCTCTGCCTCCACCCTGCTCCCTACCGCGGAGGCTCGGCACGCTCGACACGCCGCGGAGCTCTACGAGTTCTCCCACGACAAGATGGACGGTCTCCAGGGAGTGGTGGACGGGGTCGCCGCGGTCGTGAACGCCCGCCTTCTCTCCCTTCTGATGAGCCCCCGCTACCAGCTGATGGCCCACCTCCGGGCGCTGAAGAAATTCATCACCCTTGCCCAGGGCGATTTCGTCACTTGTCTCTTGGATGCGGTCGGTCCTGAGTTGAGCAAGAGCGCCGACCAACTATATCGGCACGACTTGACAGGAAAATTGGAAGCTGCCTTGCGCACCAGCAACGCGCAGTACGAAGACACGGATATTTTGAACCGAGTGGGCGTCCGGCTCTTGCCTGCTTCGGGGGGAGAGGAAGGCTGGGAAGTGTTCGTGTTGGATTACCACGTGCACGCGCCCGTGTCGGCCGTCGTGCACCGAAAAGCTTTGGAGACATACGCGCGTATCTTCCAGCTCTTGTTCCGCGTCAAGCGGGTGGAATGGGCCTTGGGCACGTCCTGGAAAGAGCACATGATGGTGGGTCAACTTCCCAGAAGGGGCGGGGGTGGGAGAGAAGATGAAAGCAGAATGGCCTGCATCTTGCAACGCTGCAATCTGACACGGCGCGAGATGGTCCATTTTGTCGCCAACTTGTCCTCCTTCATGTGGTTCGAAGTTCTAGAAGCTTCTTGGACGCAGCTGGAGGCGGACATCGGGGCGGCCAGCGACCTGGACGCTGTGATCGCTGCCCATGACGCCTACCTGTTGCGGGTCACCCAGACGTCTTTCCTGTCTCCCGACAAGGCGCCTTTCCTCACGGCATTGCAAGACGTGCTTTCCTCCATCCTCGGCTTCTGTGCCCTGCACGCAGACTTGTGTCGAGAAGTTTTGAGGGCAAAGGAATTGGACAGGGCGTCGGAGAAAGCCGTGGGGAGGAGGGGCGTGGTGGGGGAAGAGAGAGCGGAGGCGGCGGGAACTGGCGTGAAAAGGGAAGGAGGGATTAAGGTAGGGCCTTACGAGGAGAGGGTCGAGATGACGACTGCCAGATTTGAGCGTGCTTGTGAGGAGTTGATCGACCTCTTGCACGCCCAGGACCGAGGGACACAAGCGGCCGTGGCAGAGGCGGACGCGGTCCGCTTCCTGGTCTTCCGCCTCGATTTCAACCTCTTTTATACCCACCAACGTCTGGCGCGAGGGAGGCGGGCGTCCTTTGATAAACCTGCTGTACCTGCCGAGGGATCGATTCCGGTGCTATGATCATGCCATGCTGGGATGGGGAGGAAGCGACGGTGTGTGTAAGAGGCGGAGTGGAAGGCACATTATATTCGTAGCGAAGCGTGATGAAGAAGCAACTATGTGTGACGAAAAGTAGAATTGATACCGAAAGAATTCCATAAGTCTGTTGTATGTTGTTGTGCACGATACATGTTTGTGCGATCGCCGGACATGGGCAGTATTTCCATGCTTTTTGGTGTCCTACTGCGAGGTAGGCACATGGCTTTTCTCTTGTTCGATTTGGGGGGCTCGCAGGAGGGCACACAAACCCACACTAAACTTTTCAGTAGCACGTTGATGCTCATCCGAAAGGATATGATATTTAACTAGAATACGAGGCTTGGCGCCCGACCAGTCGGCTTTCGTATCCTATCGTTGAGCACATGACGTTGTGCACCACGGGGTACTCGCCCTTTATAATGCAGCTTTTTTGACAAGGCATAGTCAGACGTAGGGCCGTGAATTGGAGTCCTTGGGTATAGCTGCGCTAGGTTGGGCAAGGCAGTGTACATGCCCCGGAAGGCACGCGAGGCGGCGAACTAGACTACCCGGATGTCTCCCACCTCCAAGCCGGGCAGATGCGGGAACGGATCATTGCATTGAACGCACCTCTTCACGGGTGGTGGTAGCTACGTTCTCCTGTATTTACGGACAAGAATTCCTGAGTGTTAGCGTGGATCTCGAGGGCGGGCTGGGCGTGAAATTGGACGTGAGGTGGTTACGTTGAGCTGAGACCGTGCTCCTGCTCCCTGGGGTCGTCTCCATCTCGCGCTGATTACTTTGGTTCACTCCGTTCTCTTTGCACTCCTCACACACATAGGGCATTTGAAGCATGCAGAGCTCCCTGATGGCCTGCGGTCGGTTGGGTACCTCTCGACTTCAGGTCACAGCACCAGCAACCCATCACCTTTGGTACAGGTGCCTCTCTGCCCCTCCGCAAAAGCCCCCTCCTCCCCCATCACCAGAGGAACTAGAGAAAATGGTCAGCGCTTCCGAAAGCCACGTGAAGGAGATTCGCGCGGGGACTATGAAGAAAGTTCAGCCTTATCTCGTCGCGGACGTGCCTGATTTGCCGACTTACCTGCCGCAGAAGGAAGAAGAGATGGCTGTGTTGAACGAGCAACCCGCAAACCAGCGGGCTCGCAAAGTTACCATCCGTCAGAAGGCGCAAACGGCCATGCAATCAGCAGCAAACAAGAGCTACCCTTGGTACATCTCTTGGGGTTCCCAGGAACGTTGGTCTAACCCCTTGATGGGTTGGACGTCGACTGCTGATCCCCTGAGCAATCAACAGCTGGCTTTCGACACGGCAGAGGAAGCGGCTCGTTTCGCTAAGCGTCAAGGCTGGGCGGTCTCAATTGAGCCTCCAATTTCTCGGGAACAAGTCTTGGGGACCAAGAAGTACGCCTTCAATTTTTTGGCGGAGGATGTGGAGAACAAATTGAAGCGAGAGGGCACCAAAACAAAGCAGTTCACAAACCCTGGCTACACGGCTTCGAATTGGTTTCAACCGCTCAAGTATCACGGTGACGGAGAATGCGAGCAGCACGGCCCGCCACGGGAGGGAGCGAAGAAGAAATAGGTCGAGTGACGCGCCCGGGGAGAAATTGATGGGAGGTGATAATATAGTGGCGACTCAGGAGGGTCTGAGGGGGAGGACGCGGCTCGCGTGGGACGAGAAAGGGTGCGTGTTCATTGATGGGAATTGTCGTCGATGTTCTTGCGTGAAGTATGTGTCTGGTTGGTGGAAACATGAGGTGGACTGGACGGGAGAAGCCGCCACCGGGGCGAGACGCCTAGGTAGCCTGATGTTGGGAGGGAAACTGGCGTTCACCTCGCACTGGTGCGGGATTACCTGGATTGAAGCGTTGAAAGTGGTGCCAATGTCTTGTACAACGGAGGCCCGAGGCCAACTATTGCGGCCATTCCGCCTGGTGCTTGTCTACCGCGAAGACACTCACGCGTGAGAGGCGTGGCTCACCGATTGTCAATCATGAATTTATGTCCATTGTCTGCACGACCGTGCTCTCAGTCTTGGCTGTTGCATTCTTCTTTGTCAATATATTACTTGGAAGCATTGTCTCGCGAACTTCTCTCGCCACACCAATAAACACATGTCCGTCTTGGTCCTCTCTCGCTCCTCCCTTTACCTTACTGCACACACTGCCAGGGCTCTGTTCTCACTCACTTCAGAAATATGTCCTATTACTCGTACAGGCCGTGCTCCTTGCCTCTCCCTATTGCACATGCACGGCCGCCAATGGTTCCCGCGCGTCCCTCCCTCCCTCCCTCCCTCCCTCATGCCCCCTGCCTTCCTCCTGTTGGGTGACTGTTTTGTCAACGTATATGGACACGAGTTTCAATTGCGCCGGTCGAAGCTGGGGATGGAGAAGAGGGAAGAGGTCGTCGCCCAGGACCGGGTGCAGGGCCGCTAGGAAGGAGACGGTCGCCATGCGCATGACGATGTCGGGGTCGTTCAGGTGGTGGACGAGGACGGGGAGGAGGGCAGGGAGGGTAGAGGAGATGGGGCCTGGCGTGGATGGCAGGCGAGCGAGGAGCTTGGGCAACGTCCGGAGGGCCAAGAGGAGATGCGGGCGGGGAAGGGGGTGGGGGGTTGCCGGTGTGAGAAGGGCGGAAAGGGAACGGTAGAGGTGGCCAGGGTCGGGGAGCAGGAGGAAGAGGTAGGTCAAGACTTTCTCCGCGTGCTGGAAGAGTTCGAGGGAGGACGTGGAGGCGCAGGCCAGGAGGGAGGGAAGGAGGGAGGGCAGGTAGGGAAGGAAGGAGCGGGCTTTGGGGGGGTCGGAGCGGGCGACGCGCAGGAGGTGGCGGAGGCCACGCAGGGAAAGGTAGACGGGCGTGGGAAAGGCTTTGCTGCCTTGGGCTGGTTTTACGACCGTGCCCCATACGTCCATATCCAGGCTCCCAAGGCCGCGCTCGCCCGCCCCCTGCAGCAAGGGGCAGGTGTCGGTGGTGAGCGGGGCGGCGGCCCCGGGTACCTGCTGCAATCCGGTCATGAAGGCCGTCATGGTTGCCTGGAAGTACCGATCCCACATGTCCGGCCCGCCTTCGCCCATGAGGGCCATCAGCTCCTCCAAGGCTTGGCCTTTCCCGCCTGGCGGGGCCAGCTCGTCCACCAGCGTTCGCAATGCCCAGGCTGCACGGACGTCGCTCTCCTCCGCCTTTTCGCTCCGGACGTGCCGGGCCCTGTCCCGGCTCACGCCCGGCGCCTGAGGACGCGCTTTCTTCTTACTCTCTACCCGCCCGCCCGCTTCGCTTCCCGGGGGGAATGTCGGAGCATTTTCGAAAGGTGCCAGGCCGTAGTTCCCTTCAGGCTGGGTTTCGACGTTTTCTTTGGCAGCATTCGCGCCATCTTCGCCGTTCACCGAGTCCGGCAACCGGCTGCGGGGTGGGTGCGGGGGCGCCGAGGCAGGGTGTGGGCTGCTACTGACGCTACCGGTGGCGGCGACTCCCGTCGTGGAGGAGGGAGAGCGCCGCCCAGGGTGGGGTGGGGCGTGCGCGGGCTCGGCCCGTCCACGAGAAGGGTGTGTCTGCGCGAGGTCAGGGACCGCGTCCCAGCCGGTGACCTCCCCTGGCGTCGTTTCGGTCTGTGGCGCCTTGGGAGGGGGTTCCTGCCGCGTCCCGTGCTGGTGTTGCTGCGGTTGCTGTCGGTTTGGATGCAGTTGCTGCTGCTGCTGTTGCAGGACCCGTCGCACCGCCATTTGAGGCTCGGCGGGCAGATTTCCCAGATGCTCCATGAAAGCCCCGTGCTGCGTTTTCCAGAGAGCGACAAGACAGGAGGACGCGGCTCGTTCCACCGCCGGGAGGGGGCGAGGATGGGCCAGTATCAGGGTCGAGAGTTTGTTCATAAGACTCCGCAGGGCAGGGCCGTGGGCGAAAAACGAGGCGGCCGCAGGCACAAGGGTCTCCAGCAGCTCCAAGCCAACGGCTTTGGCGCGCTCGGCCGGTTGGTCGTGGCAGGTCCGCGCTAAGGACGCAGCCAGGAGGGAGGGCTCGAGCACGGCTTGGCACCGGCGGATGATGGTGTGCGTCAAGGTCCGGACTTGCTCCTTAGGGTCCCCGGTCTTGTGGAGGACGCGGGCGAGGAAGGGGTCCAGGGCGGGCGGGACGGCTTCGGCCAGGAAGGCGGGGCTGGGGATGAGGAGGAACTCGGCAGCGACCTCCAAGGCGGCGTGGGCCACGCGCTGGTTAGCATCCTGGAGCCGGTGGGTGACCAGGGTGAAAAAGCGGACGAGGAGGGCCGTCTCGGGCGGGTCGAGGATCAGGGCGGGGAAGGAGGAGGAGGAGGAAGAGGAGGAGGAAGAATCCGAAACAGGGAAATTGGGCTCGGTCAGGAGGTGGAGTTTGGCTGCGGCGTCCTCCAGACCTCGAGCCCGCAGGTTCCAGACGGTGGAGTCTGCGTCTTGAAGGATCTCCTCCCACGTCCGGGTATTGGAGCCTGTCCCCCCCCCGGATGCCTTGAGAGAGCCGGTGCCTGTCTCCGCGGGCTTGTTGGCCGGAACATGGGCTGGGGTTTTCCCCTCTGTCCGGACGGAGGCCTGCGGGCCAGTGGGACGCACTACCCGCAAAGGGCCCGTGATACTGAGGCGACGGCCGGGGGCGGGGCGGGTCGCTTCCTCCGAGGGTGCCGACGCCGAAAG